CATTTAGTAGTCTCTGTAAGTAAGATTGCCAATTGGTGGCAAACTTAAGTGCAGTTTTATGCTACCATTACCATTATAACATTTTATATCCATTAGGATCAGAGTTGAGTCTACCTAGATTCATTTCACATAGGATCCTTACAGCCAGCAGAGAGAGGAGACCTTCATCCCATCAGCCTGGGCTGATTCAAAACCAGATACCAGAAATGAAACAATAGTGTGCACAACTATTTTGCTCCCACCTCCCAGTGCATTACATGAGACAGGAGACTCTAAGTGCTAAGAGTAAAGCTTTTCTGTAATATGCATGCATCTTTAAATAAATTAATTAAATCAAATTAGAAGCATGATTAATGGGAATCTAAACAGTAGTATTAAAAACTTCCTGTCACACAAATCCATGTCTTCCACAATTAGTTTATGTGCTTGTTTTCGGTTGCTTTACATTTCTTTGTGATCTGTGCCAGTGTCTGCTGATCTAGCTAGTGACATTTCTTTTGTCCTGTTGACAATTAGTGTCCAATGATGTGACATCTAGCAGGTCAAAGTTCATTGCGCATTGAATTTCATACGTACCCTTTCTCTGTTCTTTGACGATTCTGAGGGTCAGGTGAATTTAAGTTTCTTGGACAGGTGCTGACAAAGGAGGGACAAAGGTACCCAGGCAAAGCCTGAAGACAACTAGCTGTTGCGACATGACATGGTCACCTCCCAGCAATTAATGTTTTATTTTAAGTGCCCCAAATTGCTGAATGACAGTTCTGTTAATACAGTCAATTATTCCACAAAGGCACTGCCAGAACCAACTAGTTAAAATTTACATCACCTTCCTAGGCCCTTAGCAACATTGGAAGCCAAAGACATACCAACGGCTGCCAGTGACCATGTTTTTTTCCAATGATGTAAGAATGGCGAATATAGTACTTGAGGACATTTGTAATGGCAATAACATTCTCTTTTAAAAACTGAAGGAATTTCCTTTAAAGCAAAAGGGAGTTTCTGGAAGAGAAAATGCTTTTTTTCCCATTTAGCAATAAATCCTTGTTCCTCCTCAACTTGCTTCCTCTCTCCCTGAAAACTCTGGCTTGTGTTGGAGATTAGTTCAAGAGATACTGACATCTCTCTGATACCTCAATCAATGGTCTAATTTCTCATCTGAGTTTGAGACAATGGGTGCTGTTATACTACTTAGCTCTGAATAGCATCACAAATTCAACCCAACCTTCATACAAGTAAATGCAGATATATATGTACCATCCAGCAAAAGCTACTAGATAGCGTTGAGAAACAGATGCTGACAGGATGACTCTTAAAATGCACTGGAATGATAAATATATTCTTAAAAGATAGTATTCCTCTAAACCTGAGCACAGACTTATTGCATCAAATTGAAGGGAAGCAAAATAATTTCAGGAAAAAACTTTGTTGGAGTAGCAAGTTTCCAAAAATTGTAGTTAACTAGTCTTTTATTAGGTGGAATGGAACCTTTTCTCTCTGCTTACTATAAATATTATAACAAGATTTTTGGAATCTCACGCCCAATATATTTAGTTCAATTGGTAATCTCGCAAAGAGAGACCATAAGGATGCTTGGTGTGGAAAGGACATTTATATGTCACGCAGACTTGCATCAGCATCCAACACATTAGAAAGTGTCCTGCAATGATGAAGAATTCTATCTTTAGATTTGACACTGAAGAAACAAGGATAAAGTACTAATTGCTTCCCTCGGTTTTTCAATCTCCTTACAACGCATCTTTCACTAAGTAGGCTGATTTACTTCTAATAGAATATATTCACTCCACATGTCTTCCCAACTAATCTTATTTTCTCTCTCATGTTTGCTGTAAATAGGAATTCTTCTAGCAGTATGGAAAAGATACTGAAAAAAGCACTGACTGCAAGTTGCCTACCATGGGAATTCAAAATCATCTGAAGGAATTTCTCTGTCACATTTTTTATTCCAAAGGAAGTCTAGCTGGACAACTTGCGACCCTCACACTAGGACAACCATGGTTCCACAGAATTCAGCCAAAAAGCCTACAACTGAGACTTTAGAAAAGGTCAGTGATGTTAAAGGTCAGAGTCAGAGCACATTCATGAACTGATAATAGTATGGGTGCAAATTGTGTAGTTAAAGGGGAACTAAGAATAGAACAAGGAACAAAAGTCAGGAAATCTTTTTTTTTGAAATTCCTAGCAACTATTTTGAATAATGCTGGCCCTAAAACAATACAGCAGAATATATGGAAGATTTGGACAGGCTTCATTATTGGGCAAGAACATGGCAGATGGAATGAATATTTGTGGAAAAGATTGAGCTTATCCACTTTGGTTGGAAAAATATTTGTACAGAGAATGTCTTCAATGGTAACAAGTTCAAAGTGTGGATGTACAGAGGAACCTAGGTGTCCTTGTCAGAAGTCACTAGAGGTTAATATGCAGGTGCAGGAAGCTATTAGGAAAGCTAGTGCAATGTTGGAAGCACAAACAGAAATTGCTGGAAAAACTCAGCCGGTCTGGCAGCATCTGTGAACAGAATGCAGTTAACATTTCAGGTCCAGTGACCCTTCTTCAGAATTGGTTGTAGCTAGGAAAGGTTGGTATATATGCTGAAGATGGTGGGGGTGGGGGGGAGAAACAAACAACAGGTGAAGATGGAGCCCAGAGAGGAAGAACAACAGTTGCGCAGAAAAAAGAATAGGTAACGGTGTGCCCAAAAGAATGAACAGCTGCAATCGGGAAGCCACCTCTAGACACACATTCATCTATCCTCCTATATCAGCATCCCGCAGATACTGTTCCCTCCGGGACACCCTGGTTTAGTTGTCCTTCACTCCCAACACCGCCCCACAACCTCACATAATCGCAGAAGATATAGCACTTCCTCCTTCCTTTACTTCCTCCCTCCTCACTATCCAAGGCCCCAAACACACCTTCCAAGTGAAGCAGTGATTTAGCTGCACTTCACTCAATCTAGTCTACTGTATGCGCTGCTCACAACATGTGTCCTCTACACTGGGGAGACAAAAACGCAGACTAGGTAACTACTTTGCAAAACACCCACATTCTGTCCTCAAAAATAAATCAGAGCTTCCAGGTGCCCACCGTTTCAACACACCACTGTATTCCCTGGCCAACATCTCTCTCTCGGGCTTGCTACAGCACTCCAACGAAGGTCAGCACAAGCTGGAAGAACAGCATCTCATTTTCCGCTTGGGGAACCTGTAGCCTTTGGGATTCTATATCAAATTTAATAATTTTAGGGCTTGAACACCTCCTCCCATGTCCTTACCCCAACTCCCACACACCAAGCCTTGATATCACATGGATTGCTACAATAAACACCCCACTGTCAGTTACTAATGGTCCCCATTAGCAGCTATTGATTCTCCCAGGCTGACCTTTACCAATTCCTTTGTCAGCCCAACTGTTATTCTCCCTCGTTGGGCTCCATCTTAACCTATCATTTACTTCTCCCACCTCCTCCTAGCCCACCTTCAACATATTACCAACCTTTTCCTAGCTACAATCAGTTGAAGAAGGATCACTGGACCTGAAACATGAACTCTGTTTTCTCTCCACAGACCTGCTGCCAGACCTGCTGGGCTTTTCCTGAAATTTCTGTTTGTGTTTCTGATTTCCAGCAACCACAGCTTTTTTTTTTGTTCAATGGAGTATTAGCCTTTATTCCAGGAGGATTTCAGTACAGGAACAGTGAAGTCTTGTGTCAATTGCAGAAGAGCTTGGTTAGACCACACTTGGAGTATTGAGTGCAGTTTTGGTCTTCTTATTACCATAGAGGGAGTGCGATAAAGGTTCACCAGGCTTGTTCCCAGGACGACAGAACTGTCCAAAGAAGAGAAATTGGATAAACTGGGCTTGTATTCGCTAGAGCATTGAAGAATGAGAGCTGAACTCATTGAAACCCATGAAGTACTTAAAGAGACAGGATAGATATAGACAAGATACTTTCACTGGTTGGAGAATCTAGAACCAGGGGTACAGTTTAAAAATAAGGGAGATACCATTCAGGAAAGAGATAAGGAGAAATTATTTTACTCAGAGGGTTGTGAACCTCCAGAATTCTCTACTACAAAGGGTTGTGCATGCTTAGTCCTTGAGTATGTTTAAGGTGTGTTTACGAAGTTAATTCCTGCTTTAAAATGACAAACACCCCAGATATTTGCACTGAAGAACTAGCTAAGGGAGATCATTTTATTAAACAAAAATCATAAACTTTCAGTTCTGACAGACATTCTATGAAGAACTGCACCTCAATTTTTATTCACACTTCATTCTCAGATGCTGAGTGAATTATTCTGCACTTACGGTTTTCTCTTTAAATGAAAGATTTCTAGCATTAACTATGTATTTACATATAAAAACCTAATTCCAAAATTGAACAGGGTAATATGGTAAGTTTCTTTTTGTTTCTGTTTTTATTTTGTCATAGATTTTCTTCCTTGGCTAACTGCCCTAAACATTTATGCTGTCAACTAATTGAATAACTAAATACTTCTACAATTCATTTGCATTACAACTGCAGTGTCTGATACTTTCTGAGCTTTAAATATTTTTAAAAGTTTATAAAAATGTTTAATGTTACCCAGGGAGGCAGATTAAAAATAATTACATTACCGATAATGGTGGAAATTTTGAGAAACAAGGAAAGTCGCACTGGTGCAGTGGAGAGTACTCTTCTCAGGCCATAGATAATGTCCATTCGTTGGGCTGAGTCGAGAAGAATTTATCCTGTATTTGGCCTCTGGTATATATGATCTCTGGAGTGCCTGATGCTGACGTTCAATTAAGAAAGGAAAAAGGTTCTATAGCCCAGTTCTATTCATCCTGATGGGCGTGTAATTCATCCACTCCAAAAAATTACTTTGAAGTTGATGTTGACTTTGAAAGGAATGTATGCTGATCAGATTTATTAAAACATGCCTTACTTAATGCATTGAATCTCTACAAGTGGGAATAAAACAACTACTACCTACCATTGGATTTTACATCTGAGAAAGAAGAACCATCTTCCAGAGTAAACAGCTGAGGAACACATGCAGCTGTGCTCAGGCCTTGGCCCAGGTACGAGGCAGCAGAGTAGTAAGAATGCATCCTGTACTGTGGTGTCACGTTATGGCCTGGAAACCGGTTTTCTGCGGTCTTCATTTGCTGCAATTCAAGAAGAAAAGCATTATTCACCTATTAATTCTTTCTGCATAACAATAGAAAGGTGATTGTATGGTATATTTGAATGGAATATTTGGTTGTTTTGTTAACTTACGGCATGTTACCAAAGTATGAGCCGATCCATAGGGACCAAACAATAATTAAACACATAATGGGACTATTCTGTTCTATTTGCTATTTTTAGCAAAAGAACGTTCAAGGTATGAAATGGAAAAATTGCTTAATACTCAAATCTACTTTTACAATAAACTTAATGAATGAGGAAAATCTACAAAGTGGATATACAAAACCACGTGAATATTTACAAGAAGTAAATGACTGAGGAGCTCCCCCTGTGGATCAGTATGCAAAACTTGTCAGCAGGACACCTACTTGTGAGATTGGAATTTATGCCTAGGACAGATGTTACACGTGGCAGGATTTTCCCTTCTATTGCCAACCAAGTTGCAATAAACCTCACTCTTACAGCGACAGTTGCCCTGAAGCGACTTAATACTCCAAGAAACACAAACTGGCTTTAGATAGGCTTTGCACCCCCAGGTAGCAAGAATGTTCTGTCTCTGAGGGCTGTTCATCGATCCCTTATAGTCTCCCTACCTCAAGGCATGTAGCTCCTGGTTCAAGTGACAACCCCAGGACTAGGTGGCTATAGAAGATTTACTAATGGGGTGGGCAAGCAAGTTGATTCACATTCTGCAAATCCTTCCAATACACCTCTGGCAGGAAGTAAGAGTGGGTAAGTTTCCTGGTCACACAGAACTGTGGAGTTAATGCAACACAGCAGCCTCTCCAAGCTAAGATTTCACATTGCAAGTTCTTAACACAGGCTCTGTGGCATGAGTCTTCCTCTCTTTGAGGGATTGCTCGAGTGAGAGTGAAGTAGCCAGCAGAAGAGGCCCAGGAAGGGGAGTTAGATGAACATGGTCATTAACTGCACCTTGAAGTTTTAGTTCAAATCCTCCACAGCAGGAATGTGATTAGTCAAAATAGGTAAATATAACCAAGGTGTCCAGAGACCACATTTGTCGTCATGTGCTTAACAGCACAGTACAGTGCACACATTCTAGGTGAGAATGGAAGGCAGTACTGATAAGTATTGCACCATACCAATCACCTATGGGGTGGCATGGTGGTTAGCACTGCTGCCTCACAGCACCAGGAACCTGGGTTCAATTCCAACTTGGGCAACCATCTGTGTGGAGTTTGCACATTCTCCCCGTGTCTGTGTGGGTTTCCTCCAGGTGCTCCAGTTTCCTCCCACAGTCCAAAGATATGCAGGCTAGGTGGATTGGCCATGCAAAATTGCCTGTAGTGTTCAGGGATGTGTAGATTAGGTGGGTTATAGAGGGATGAGTTTGGGTGGGTGCTCTGAGGGTCGGTGTGGACTTGTTGGGCCGCAGGGCCTGTTTCCACATTCTAGGGATTCTATAACCTTTTGTGCTGTGTACAAGGTGAGAAATGACGCCTCATTACAATCCTGCTGCAGTACCAAACTCAAATTGAAAGGAGGCCTTCCAAGGACTGTACCACCATAAAACATATGGTTGCTCAGTATGCTATACCACTGCATTTACATTAGTCCATCGATCCTGTGACTCCTTACAATGGGTCATCAGATGGCCCTTTAACTCGTGTTGCTGTAACTATTTCCTCAATGACTTTTGGTCCAGCTGACCATCTGTCAGATGTTCTGTTGTTTACAGAACAGTGTGGGCTAGGCTGGATGGTCTTGCTACTGTGAGACAACAGCCACATCTTTACTTAGTCCACCACTTGCTTGTTGCTGGGCACTTCCTCAGCAAGTCCAGTGACTTGCAAGAAATCAAATGTCTGGATAATTATGAAGGTAGTGAAGTGAGGCAGTATGCAATGACTTTCTCAATCCATCCCCATTGTTAAAGCCATAAAAGAATGTTTTATGAATTGGAGCCATGGCATTTGTGACCGGTGGTGTGAGTGATGCAGGGTCATGTGAGGTGCTGGCCTTGTTTCCAGTACTAGCTGCTGCAGTTTATTCTTCAGATATGCCTTTAGGTAGTGGCAGGAGCAGAGGTTAGAATGCTGAATGGAAGACAGACCTTCCAACATAGCACCGTCCTTACTGGAAATTGGCTAAATGTCATTTTTAGCAATGATGTTAACAGTTTCTCTCCACAAAGCCCATCGAGTGTTCTCACACTATCACCGCAAACTGACTTCAGTAACCATGCACGTGACTGGGTGCCCAACTCACTGTATTGGTCGAGGCATTTGAGTACAGGAGTTGGAACATTACGTTACAGTTGGATAAGTCCCTGGTGAGGCCGCACTTGAAGTATTGTGTAGAGATTTGGTCACGCAGTTAAAGGAAAGACATAATTAAACTGGAAAGTGAGCAAAGAAGATTTATGGGGATGTTGCCTGGTCTAGTAGGCCTAAGTTATAGGGAGAGGTTGGCCAGGATAGGACTTTATTCCATGGAACATTGGAGATTGAGGAGTGACCGAAATCATCAGGGGCATAAATAGGATGAATGCATATAGTCTTTTTTGAAAACTAGAGGTTTAAAGTGAGAGGGGATAGATTTAAGAAGGACCTGAGGGGCAACTTCTTCACACAGAGAGCAGTGTGTATATGGAATGGGCTGCCAGAGGAAGTGGTTGAGCCAGGTACAATAGCAACATTTAAAAAACACTGGGATAGATACATGGATAGGAAGAGTTTAGAGGGATATGGACCAAATGCAGACAATTGGAACTAGCTGAGTGGGCACCATGGTCAGCATGGACCAGCTGGGGCTGAAGGGCTTGTTTCCAAGCTGTATTAATTTATTGCTCTAAATGACATTATACCAGCGACGTAAAAAGTCAGGTAAAAAACTATCCAACAAGTAAGATAAAAATGTTTCCAGTTGTACGTGCAAGTACAGATGAGCACCAAAGTAATTCATTTGCCAGAATCCTGTGCCCTCTCCTAGTCTACGTTTGGTTGGTGGGTGCAGGCTGACACTGAGTCAGACAGGAAGGTTACAGGTGGGACCCCTCTCCCACTTCCATCCTGATTAAATCTGTAGTAAATCTGTCACTCACCTATGTCAGGGTCCCTCCATCTTGGTTCTAAAGTCTCAGTGGGTCAAGTAGTAGCAGTAGTCACCACCCCCTGCAGTGGCATTGCTGAGTACACAGGAGCTGCTGGCCTCTGATTGATCAGCAGCTCTCAGCAGGTGGCACTTCTGCCCCAGGTCCTCGATTTGAAGGCCCACCACTGGCCTCTTAAGTGCAATGTGTGATACAACAGACATGAGACCTTTCTTGAAAAGAGGTGATGTGGAATTCTTGCCAGTTCTCCCATCAGCAGGGAAAACCCTAATGCCTTCACAAGATTACGTCACTGTCTTTTCAGATAAGAATTTACAGGATTCAGATGACAGCTAATACCTAAAATGCTAACTTTCAGATGATGACTAGCTGCAGCTCATTTCTTGCACATTGTTTTTATTTTGTGCTCACTTTCTGTACTGTTTTAATTCGTGGTAGCCTTGTCTGATACATTGCAACTTTTCTGCACATTCTGTGTTCCAGTATTTAATTTCTTGGTAATCAATTCAGCATATGCTATAGTGATGTCAATCTCATTGTTTTTGTTAATCAATCAATCTGAGTAATGTTCATCTATTTTAATAAACTATAATCCTCATTCTGTTTCATCAATAATCTCGGGCACTCAAAATTCTCATTTAAAAAAAAGCTTGTGAATTTCCTGTCAAAACATCAGGATGCATAAAAGCAACAATTTAAAATGCAAGCAGTTCAGACAGTGTCACAAATTAAAATGCTATACACTCATGACTGCACTCAAATTGTAAAAATGATTTATATGTTTTCTTAAAAGCTACATCACTTTGGTTGGAATTATTGTCTGGAATTGAATCTTGGAACTGAACAGCAAAATTGTGAAGATTTACTGAAATTTGTTTAAAAAGGAGACCACAATTCAAATGAAAATATTATCTTTATTGCAGTAAGCTGGTGCTGATAAGAATCCAAATAACCCAGCAGACAAACAAGGAACAGCACTGTTAAATACTGAAATTCTGTTTCCTGTTGGTCTAATCTATTTTGATATCTCTAAGAAGAACTGTAAGAATTTTACAACAATCAAATGGAAAGTGCTTAACATTAGTGAATGGAATGCAACATTATTTGCAATTGAGCGAGAATCTTCTGGAAATTAACTGGAAATCACACATTGGTTGAAAGAGAAGAGATACATTACCAGGAGAATGAGGAATCCTTGCCAAAGCTTTAACGTATCTTTTTTCAGATGGTGACTTTCTCCTGTGTTTCGAGCCTCAAAACCCATCCAATACATAAACAGGGTTTCTTATCCAGCTAACTGTCTTAACTGGTCTTAATTTTATTCTTTTCTTATCGTTTTCTTCTATTGCTGATTATTCATACACTTTTTTTTCTCCATCCCTTTCTACACATCTTCCGATCTTTTCTGTTGGCCCACAAAAAAAATCACAAAAAATACTTTCAAAGCAATATTAGCACCCCACTTACAATTACAACCTGAAAGATGTCTCCAATCGATAACTGGGCCATTATTCAGATGCTTCTAGGGTCTACCAAAAAGACACATTTAGTCCCTCATATATGTAAACTGGAACTTAGCAAATGCAATGCAAGCAGAATTAGGGCCATGTGAAAAGAAAACCCATATGACCCACTGAAAGTTAACCCTGAAAATAATTTCAAAATCAATATAACGTGCACTTCCAATGTGGAAAAGGCCCATCGCTGGGATATTACAAGTTGGAAACAGAAAGTCAGGTATTACTGCAGGATTTAAAAGCCTGCAGGGATGTCAAGTAATGTATCAACAAGTTCGAAAACCCTGACATAAATGGAGCAATGAGGACTGACCCAAACAACCAGCTATAGGCCAAAATATGTCAGTTTATTCTGTAGATGCTGTTCAAGTGGCAAATAAAACCACAA